AATATAAACATAAAAAATGACTTTCGTTGCATTTGACAATGATAAACTTACCGAAAAGCCGTGTTCTTCTCGGTCGCTAACGTCGGTATAATCCGCCATTTTATGTGTGTTTGCCACCTGACTCTGCCCAGTGACGTCATCATGTGCGCTATAGAAGAAGGTCTGCGATTCGTTGACTAAAATCGTCGACAGTGGGTCTCGTTGAAATCTCGTTACATAGGCATCGGCTCAGATGTATATAATATAATATCCCAGTGAATATGAATTAATTAATTACTTAATTAATTAATTAATTAATCAATGGGATACATGTTATGCTGTGTGATCTGTAAATAAATCTGAATAAATGTTGCATATTTCGAGCACATGGACAATGCGGGAAATATCACACGTGTACGCTCAGCAGGTAGCATATACACGGTCGCATGATTTCGTTTTGTTCATGTAAATGAACTCATAATTACAAATCAAACATACACAGTTGTTGCGATTTGAGAGTGTACAGCCTGACTCCATTGAACCTGAACGAAATTATACATTGACATACAGCACATTACAATGAAATAGTATTCATAAAAGCCGCTCATTTATATGCATAACTTTAAAGGGCGACGGTCGTCGCGCCGCGTCCTGTTCGATATGGGACTCATAGCAACGTACACAATGTATTTTACAATATTTTCGTCTTCTGTTATCTTTCGTCTAATTGCTAACGAAGTAGAATCATGCATTTTATCACTATTAAAGCGGTATTAGCTGTGATTTTGAACATTTTGTGTTTAAATATAATCACATAAAGATGATTAAATCTTAGCGAAATACAGTTTTGGACTCGGACACAATGGGAACCATGGGAAATTGTTATGCACGACGCACACTATTACGAAAATTGGCACATAAAACCGTCAGTGAGAGGCCGTCTGAAATGGGCTTAGGCTTTCGAGATGGCGACGTATTTCACTTTTCTCACAGGGCGCCCCGTAAGCTATCGTCTTCAAGTTGTAGCGTAACTCCTCAGGCTGAAGTTCACTTGACAAAACTGGAATTCAATAGATGGCGCCCTCTGGAGACGCACATTTTACACCTCAACCATTTGTTTTGCACTTGCAAGTGATATCATGTACAATGTTGGTAAATATTGTTATGTGTGTTATGCATTCAATGTCCTCACAATATACAACAAATCTGTATATGATACACTTCACTGGTAAACAAAATTACAAAGACAAAATGTTTCCTACTAATGCACGCATTTTGCGAGACCAAGCATGATCACGCGTGAATTATTTGCATATTCAAAAACATAGGTTGTTCGAAATGTGTATGTTCAAGCCTTAGCCCTGAGTACAGTCCCCCACAGTGGGGACCGAATGATCAGCGGAAGAAGGCCAACCTACAGGACTGTACTCAGGGCTAGTTCAAGCCTTAGCAGGGCTAGAGAGATGATAGTAAACCCCAAACAGTCGATAACGTGTTACAATTGCCGATTTATACCACAACCAAAAAGATTAAAAAAAATGACTGACCGAAGGGAAGACGTATCGTAACGAAAAGCTAGGCGAATAGGTTCGTACGCGAGCGTCGATCGAGATGCTTATTTTGATTTCACATTCGATGTTATTTACTTTCATATTGGAAGGTACTACGTCAGTTACCCACGCCAATGGATAATTGTCATGCATAAACTGAATTATCGACTATCAATTACCCCATTACTGGCTTATAGTTGCACTCTTAAGGTATATATTTCTACAGTAAAAGTGTACCGCCCTCGTGAAACGTTTACACTAGTTACTATATAAATGTCAAACTTCACGACCGACTATAGTCGGCCGACAGAACGTGACCTATTATAATATGTCATGTAGTTAGTATAAATTGGCAACCGACATTGAAGTGCGCCCCTCCGGGGGGGGGGG